TTTATTTTCTTATTATTATTTTTATAAAACTAATAATTTTAATAATATTAAAAAATTTAAAATACACTTAATCATTTTTAAATATGTTCTAATTAGTCATTTAATATTAAACAACAATTGCAAACTATTATATAATTAAACAATTATATTAATCAAATTTAATATCCACCATCTGTTATCCATTAGCTTCTATCCATTATCTGTTACTCGCTAAATTTTAACTACTATACTAACAAACCCTTAATTTGATTATGGCTTTTTGTTTTTATTTTAATGTGTTTTTGCAACATATTATCATAAGGGAAATGATGTGTGCACACCCGGGTCAACACACGGGTGTGCACACTCCCCATTGAAAAAAAAAAACCCATCACCACTCGGTCCAATTTTTTTTTTTTATGTGGGGATGCACATCCGGGTGTTGGATCTGGGTGTGCACCAATCAAGATCCATTATCATAATTATTAAAAAATTATGGACAAAATAATTTTAATATTATTAAACAAATTCATATTCTTTGTTGTCATTGTTAAAACTCATTTGAAATAAATTATTAGCTTTTTATTTTTAGTTTTGGATTTTAGTAATTGCAAAATTTAAGAAAACCAAAATTAAAAACAAAAACCCATAACCATATTAAACAAAACCTAAAGAAAATAACAAAAGATGGAACCCTTTAATGGGTTGGCATATAAAATTTAGCATGTCACTCTCGACCCACCATCCACCCCTTTTTGTGCATGGCTGCCTTTTATTGTGTAGCTAGCATTGCCTTTAGGATATGTTTGGTTTGAGAGAAATGAGGGAGATGGATGAGTTTTTTAATCAATTAAATTATAATGTTTTTAAATATTGTAATCTAATTGGTCAAAAAAATCCATGCCTCCCCTCCTCTCTATTTCCTTCATACTAAATCTATTATTAGGGATTCTACACACAAATCTTTAGGAGATTGAAGCTAGTGCCTCTATCTACCTCTAATTTGAGGGCACTTACGCTACTCTTGCTCCCATTGTAGTGATCCACACACCAACCTCCCATGGACAACCAACCTAATCCCTTATCCATTGAGCACTAGTATGCATACATTGGCATCAGCAATAGCCCTTGCTCCACTCCTTAGCACCCTAAGAATTAGAACTTTGTGACATTGCCATGTAGACCTCTAACACCCTACACCTACATCGCTCTACACCAAATCCCTAGACTAAATGAGAAGGGAAGGTCCCATTGGGGAACAACTTTGTTCAGAGGGACTAATCACCTTCAATGGTGTACTCACCCTCTTATGATGCCCTAGGCCAAAGAAAGGTTATTCTTTAATTTTGAGATACATGCAAGTTAATGTGAAAACATTGTAACTATTAATAAACTAAACAATTTTCAATTAATTTTAAGCTCAACCAAAGATATATAAAATACTTTACATAGAGGAAAGATGTCTAGATTTTCATCAATCCCTTTTTTTAAAGTGAAGGAAGTAAGGAATGAGGAAATTAGAAAACTAAAGATATGTTGGTTCGATGTCAGCAAGAGAATCAAGGGTGTTTGTGGTAGAGAAAATTTGGTTGGGGGAAAAGAGCTAGAGGATATTATGAGGAAAAGTGCAAAATCTTATTCCAAATGGGTTTGCCCTTGATGCCAATGTGGATGACTTACCTAGATATTTTTTATCCTCTAAATATCTCTTCTCTAAAAATCCTAGTCATGATTTTAACTCCAATAACATTTTCATACAATGTAGATATTAATGATCAGTAAAAGAACAAGGGTGTTCGGGGGAGAGAAAGTTTGGTTGAGGGAAAACAGACAAAGGAAATTATGAAAACAAGTGCAAAATCTTATTCCAAATAGGTTTACGGTTGATGCCTAACATGGATGACTTACCTATATATTTTTTATCATTTAAGTATGTCTTCTCTAAAAGTCCTAATCGTAATTTTGACTCCAATAAGATTTTCATACAAGTTAGATCTTAATGCGCCCTTAACTAATGCATGATATATAAACCCTTACTTAGATAATACAATCTCTTAATTCTTATTTTCTAATTTCCTCATTCCCTACTTTCTCCACTTTAAAATAGACATGAAATAATTGATACACTTGATATGCAAATGGCCAAAGCCTCTTATTTGCACCCTCCACTTAATTCTTTTCTATGATCAACACCTTCCAAAATTTTTCGTCCCTATTCACACCCTCTACTTTTCAAAATCCGTGAAAAACCCAATATTTTAACGAGCCGTCACAGCACAGTTAAAAAATGCACTACGTGGTACCCAAAAATTGACGTGGCATTATGTGACGTTAGTAATCCAATGTAGATTCTTTTTTTTTTTTTTTATGATGTGGCTTATTTTCTGCACACGTGGACATCACATGCACAGTAGAGCCCACTGCATGGACAAATCCAAGTCGTCGCTTTTGGGTTCCTCGTGGAACCTAGCCTCCATGGAAGATTGAAAAAGATTTCATCCATGGTTCTAATGGAGGTTGATTCAGATTGGAAAAAAAGGAACAATCTTTTAATTCACTTGCAAGAAAAATTGAGAACCCATCAAAGAATCAAATCATTATCTTATTGTTCTATCAAAACCAGAAAGAATCACAAAAAAGAAAGGCGAAAAAAAGGTACAAACTGGGTTCGACGAGGAACCCAGATTGGGTTCCTCGTCATGAGGTACCCAGATGGAACCCAAATCGGGTCCCTCATTTGGGTTCCTCACGATGAGTATCCCAGATTGGGTTCCTCGTCGTGAGGTACCCAAATGGAACCCAAATCGGGTCCCTCGTCTGGGTTCCTCACGATGAGTATCCCAGATTGGGTTCCTCGTCACAAGGAACCTAGATCGAGTTCCTCGTCATGAGGAACCCAGATGGAACCTAGATCGGGTCCCTCGTCTGGGTTCCTCGTGGAACCCAAAGCTGGGTTCCTTCGCTCTAGGTTCCACAAGGAAACCAGCTCTGGGTTCCACCCTCAATAACTGCTGCCAAACCCCCATCTTCTCACAACGCTAGAAGGAATGACATTGCTTCAGCAAATCCCGCAAATCCATCAGGGAAAAGATCTAAATCATCTAGTCTAGTGAAGAGTGCTTATGATGAGTAGGTACTTATATTCATACAGGTTTTTAATTTCCATGTTGAGAATTTAAAGAATTTGATGCTAACATACTTTATATGCAGATCACAGAGTTGAAGCTGTCTGTGGATAGTCTAGAGAAGGAAAGGGACTTCTACTTCTCAAAGTTGAGAGATATCGAGATTCTGTGCCAAACTCCTGATATTGAGCACTGGGTTCCACCCTGTTCAAGTTTTTTTTTTTGGTTGGGAGGTTTTCACATAAAATTATGCCATGTCATCATGCCACATCATCAAAAAATCGTCCACATTAGATAAATAATACCACATAACGCCTACATTATTGTTTGGATGCCACGTAGTATATTTTTAAACGGTTATTAACGGTGTTGTGATGACGTGTTAAAATATTGAATTTTTCACGGATTTTGAAAAATAAAGGGCATGAATAGGGAGGAAAAATTTTAAAAGATGTTAACTGCAAAAAAAAATTAAGTAGAGGGTGCAAATAGGGGCTTTGTCCTATGCAAATAAGTAAAACTCTTTGGCACAAGAAACAATTAAGTAAAACTCTACAGCACAGGAATTAGCTAAGTAAAACTCTAAGGACGAGTATGTAAATAAAATAACATCGATATTGCCCTAATAAGGATTAGATGGTTCATGAGTCTTTTAAGGATCTTGTGCTAAAGGATTGGTCTAATCCTTACCTCTCCTTTTATCCTTGCTCGGTTGCTTTTAAAGATTCTTGCATTAGCTGGAGCAAAGCAACCTTTCCTAATTTCCATAAAAAAAAGAGAGAGCTTTTGGCTCGGCTTGATGGGATCCAGAGAACCCTTCAACATGGAAATAATTCTTTTCTCCTAAACTTGGAGGATATCCTCTCAAAGGAGTACCAAACAATCCTCAAGTATGAGGAGGATTTGTGGTTTATGAAATCTCGAGTTCAATGGATCCAAAAAGGTGACAAAAATTCAAAATTTTTTCATGTTTCTACCATCAAGCGTAGATCCCATAATCGGATTCTTGGCCTTAAGGACCTTAATGGTAACTGGTGTTTTGCTGCAGAAGGTATTAACTCTCTTATTACCTCTCATTTCAAAAATCTTTATAACTCTTCCCATGTCCAATCTTTTCATGACTCTTATATAGATATCCTCAATGGTCCGTCAATTCACTCTTCTAGCTGGCCTCATTTATCTAACATTCCTTCCCAGAGGGAAGTTTGGACTGCACTTAATACTATGCAACCTTTTAAAGCCCCTGGACCTGATGGCCTGCATGCTGGCTTTTTTCAGAAATACTGGGAGTTTCTTGAGGAGAAACTGTGTTATGAGATCTCCAATATTTTCTCCTCTGCCAGTATGACCAACTCTTGGAATTCTAGCCTTTTGGCTCTCATCCCCAAGGTCAACAAACCTGAGTCTGTTTCTCAGTTTCGACCTATAGGTCTTTGCAATATTTCCTACAAAATTGTCACAAAAATTATTGTTCTTAGACTTAAGCCGATTATGGATAGTCTTGTCTCCCCCATGCAAGCTAGCTTTATCCCTGGGCGTAATGGTGTTGATAATGTGACTCTACTAAGAGAGTTTGTCTACTCTTTTAGTAGGAAAAAGGGGAGACTGGGAGAAATGATCATTAAATTAGATTTAGAAAAAGCATATGATTGTTTGGAGTGGAGCTTCGTCAGAGAAACTCTGATTTTCTTCAACTTCCCATCCAATTTAATTGCCCTTATCATGTCATGTATTTCCTCTGCAAATATGGCGTGCATTGTTAATGGTGGTATCTGCGAATCTTTTAAACCATCTAGAGGATTGAGACAAGGAGACCCTCTGTCTCCTTACCTATTCATCCTCTGCTTGGAATTTCTTTCTCTTCATATCCAACAAGATGTCCAAAACGGACATTGGAAGGGGGCCAAACTTGGGAGATCAGGTCCGATTATCTCGCACCTTTTCTTTGCTGATGATCTTATCTTTATTGGGAAAGCATCTACTGCTAATGCATCTCACTTGAAAAACTTGTTGAGTTTCTTCTGTTCTCGTTCTGGACAAAATATTAACCAAAGCAAGTCCAAAATTCTTTTTTCAAAAAATACTGATGATCTCACCAAGTTTAATATCTGTCATACTCTCGGCTTTGCCGAGACTAACTCCCTTGGCAAGTATCTTGGGATTCCTATTACCCCTAAGAAGGTTTCCAAGAAGGATTGCTCTTTCATTGTGGATAAAGTCAGAGGCAAATTGGCAGGTTGGAAGGCTAACATGCTTTCACTTGCTGGTAGAGCTACTCTAACCTCTTCTGTCCTTTCTACAATCCCTAATTATTATATGCAGGCAGTCTACCTTCCTAGCTCGATTCATGATGAACTTGATAAAATCTCTAGGGATTTTATATGGGGTTCTACTGATGAAAAAAAGAAAGTTCATCTTGTCTCATGGGAAAGAATCACTCAACCAAAGAGGAATGGGGGTATTGGTATCAAATCTGCCAAGGAGGCTAATCAAGCCTCTATGGCGAAGCTCCAATGGAGGCTCGCTGCAGATAAAGGTAATTTGTGGGCCAGGGCTCTCAAACAAAAGTATAAGATTGAGGGACCTAGGCATGATTTTTCCAACTCCCCCTCCCCTGTCTGTAAAGATATGGCAAAAGGTAGTCATATTTTTGGCTTAGGCATTTCTTGGATTCCTAGAAATGGGAATAACACTTATTTTTGGCAAGACAGGTGGTGTGGGTCTAAACCACTAAATTCTGTCCTTTATGGTCCTTTTAAACCAACGGATTGCCATCTGAAGGTGGCTGACATTTTAACTCCCCAAGGCACTTGGGATTTAGATAAAATATCCTACCACCTTCCTTCTGATATTGTGGCTTCTATTCAAGCCATACCATTGTCTAAGCATACCACTGAGGATGATAAGTTTGTTTGGAACTCATCTGCTAATGGCACTTTCTCTATGAATTCTGCGTATAATATTGCAAAAAGCTTGCCTATATGCCAAAAAGATCAATGGTATTGGATCTGGAAGGTTCATACTCTTCCAAAAATCCAATATTTCTTATGGCTCCTCATGCATGGTCGAATTCAGACCTTTGACACTTTGGCCAAATGGGGTGTTGTTGCCGATAGCACATGCCCCATGTGCCGACTGGCACCTGAAACCATTAACCATCTATTCAAGGAGTGTCCTTTCGTTGATTGCCTATGGTCTGCTGTTTCTCCTCATAATTGCCCTCTTCTCCATCATGTTGCTGATTTTAAAGATTGGCTACGGGCTAATTGTGTTAGTGGTAATTCTAATTGTGTCAACACAAATCATTGGAGCACCTTTTTTACCTTCACCTTATGGACCATCTGGTTTACTAGGAACCAATTTGTCCATAATAGCACCCAAATGAATATTCAGCAAATTAAGAGTGTTATTCTTAATAGAGTGCAGGAGTTCCTTAAATATAACTCCCCTGATATTGCTCCTAGAAATAAGACTGTGGTTCACATTGGTTGGTCACCGCCACCTCCTGGTTTCTTGAAACTTAACACTGATGGTTCTGCCCAAGGGAACCCAGGGATGGCTGGTGCAGGAGGTATATTTAGAGATCATAATGGTTCCTGGATCTATGGTTACTCCAGAAAAGTTGGCTTTACCACTAGTCTTGCTGCTGAACTTTGGGCCATTAGGGACGGTTTAGATATTGCTGTTAGCAGAGGAATCTCCAAACTTATTTTGGAAACAGATTCCAAAGTTGCAGAAATTCTTCTTAAATCTGCAGACCATAACTTCCACTCACTTGGTGTGCTTATTCATGATTGCAGGCGTCTCATGCAAGAGGTTCCTGACTTTCAAATTCACCATATCTACAGGGAGGCTAATGCGGCTGCAGACTTTTTGGCCAAACTCGGTGTTTCCTCTTCTTTTGGCTTTATGTTGTATGATGAGAGACCTAAGGAGCTCTCTTGTATTTTGTTCTATGACTGTATCGGAACTGTTGTTCCGAGAACTATTGTAGCCGTTTAAGTCTTATTTATTTAATCCTCCCATTTCTACCAAAAAAAAGGATTAGATGGTTCATTACTTTGAGCTGTCTTAGCAACCGCCTAATCCTAAACAGAGGCAAGAGTAGTTACTTCCTTTGACAGAGAAGGAGAGGAGGAGGAAAAAGACGGATGCCATGCGGAAGCAGCTTGATGTGCTAATGGGCGTGAACCGCAATGGCGATGTAAGGGAGGTGAATCGGAAGTACTACGATCGCGATGTCTGCTACCTCTACTAGTCTGGCCTTTGCCCTTACAAGCTCTTCCAATTGACGGTATTCTCCTCGTTGATTCTTACTCCGTTTCTCTTTTCTTTATGCTCCGATAATTAATTGTTAATGGTTGATATCCATTTTCTTTCCCTTGATCACTACTTTATGTTTTCGAAGTGATTGTCTGTGTTTGGTTTTTGAGAAAATTTGGGGTTTTAAAGCGGTAAAAGTTTTTCGGGATGGGTGGGGGCAAGGTAGAAGCCTAGAAGGGAAAGTGACAGATATACACCATTTGGTTTTTAGAATGTAGCCAGAGTTAAGTTATTGTAACTCCTAATTTTGGAAACCAAATGGGTAGGTTTATTTTATATTTATTTTCTGTTTAAATTTTTGCTTCTATTGTATAAACCAATAAATGACTGATGCATGCAAGTGAGGTCATTTGTTTCTATTTGTTAAAAATGGAATTCTTTGAGGGAGAGAGGAATGCTGCAGGAAATCAGAGCTAAGGGTGAATTGAATGTGTTTAGGAATATTAATACTGGAAGCATTTTGAAAGTGGTTTATAATAATGAATATAAAGAAGAAACAAGAGAAAAGAAGGGTATATATATGGAAAATTCTGCCAATTAGGGAGGAGTTTAGAAAGTGTACATGGAATTAAATTGGGGATAGTATGTAGAGTTGCAGATTTCATTGATTGGTTTGATGGATGGGAGGTTGTAGTCTGTCTGAACCAATGGAGGGTGTAGACTTGAGTATTTGAGATTGTAATTGTTTTGTACATAGTTGGAGACAACAGAGGGAAGGAGTATGCATGCATGGAAGTGATAAGTATGTTTTTAACTTGTTATTGGCATTTTTTGGTTAGTTTGGTAGCCTAGGAGGTGTAAGAATTGGAGTAGGGGTTACAGCTTGGGAGGCGGTGTTGTGGTGGGTTCTTCATCTCTCCTCAATAAGATCACTGGGGGAATTTCAACCCTCTGTGGAGGTCAGAGAGGGCAGGTTAACAGCTTCTTTTCGTCAATGTTTTCTATTTATCATTGGTTGTTAACTTGGAAGAGAACTAAATTCAAATGGTAGGTACACTGTTGCTGATAATTTTCATTTGATTATTTTGATTACCTGTGAGGTGTTGGAAAGAAAAAGGTGTGATAGATTTAAATTTTCTATTTATCATGGGTATTTGAGATGGAGGACAAATAAACTAGGTATTGTTAGTTGCACTACTAGTTTCTTTGTAATTTTAATTAATTACTTCTTCCAATTCTATTTTATTGTCAAGTGCTATGATAACATGTATTGTTTTATGAGTTGAGGGAAGTATTTTAGTGAGTCTACAATTGTTAGGTAGATACTATATGCTCATGTAATACTTATGGGTAGAGTTTCCACTGATCACATATACCTGTGCTTCTACCATTGCAGTTAAAGACCACAACATTGTCAAAGTTGCTAAGGTATAATATGCTGGCACCCAATTATCTGTGTCCAGACACAAGTGTACTCCCTGTTCAATTCTCTAGCCACAACTTTTCCATTCAACCTCACAAAACCAAGAACACCGCAATTGGTGCATAATACATGACCAAGCCAATTGTCAACAAGGGTAGCACCAAAAACAGTCCCAAATTCCTCGAAAGTGCATCTGATGCAACCCCAATAATCTGCACAGTCAATTCAATTCGATGCCAATTGGCAACCAAAACCCACACAATCACTGCAACAACTAACAACAAAAACACCCCAATGATCTCGTATATGTTATTTCAACTTCATCTTTAAGTCATGTTTGAGTTGCAGATACTTGCAGAGGGTTTTCTCTGTAAGTAATTGACTAATTGTGACTTTAGAATTTTGGATTCCAAACTTCTTGTTTTCTTTCTCTTGTTCAGAAAATGGATATGGGTCCATGTCCAATGGTCCACTCATTGCAGCTGAGGAGAGGGTATCCTTATAACTCATGTTGTCATATATGATTTATGGTGCTATGCTTTATGTTATGTTTGCACCATGAGACTACATTTTTGGGACTTGGTTTTGATCACTGGATTTGTAGAGTGCATTTTGAACCTTGTGCTTTTTGTGTCAAATAAATTGTAGGCACATGGTTTTATTTTTGACACTTAACACCAATGGGGTTTACATGGTTATTTGCTAACGCCTTTGATTTAATTGCCTCTAATGATTACAAATGCAATTACTTGAATGAAAAGACTTGGCCATTGTAAATGGTAGAGAGGGATGTAGGATTGACCACATCCCTAATGGACAGAGCATGTTTTTTAATTAACCACATGAGTGCTTAGTGGTAATGAAGTTTAGTGTTGGGTTTTATTTGACAGCCTGCCCCCCTGCCCCCTGTCCCCAAAAAAAAAAAAAAAAAAGAGATTAGTGTTGTTCCTTTTTAGTTGTAGCTACTTTATTGTTGATTTTAAAAAGTAATGCCTCTGCTAATGGTATCCACCTTTTAGTGGTTTCTATTTTTCTCCTTGTGTTTTCTTAACCCTTCTTAGATATGAAGAGGCTAAGGCAGAAGGCATTGATAACCATGACAGAGAGTTGGAAGATGCTATTTATAGGCTCATTGTTGAGTGTGATAGGAAAATTGGTAGAGCTCTCAAGTGCCTTGAGGATGAGGATGTGAAGGCTGCTATTGCTATATATCAGTCATTGAAGTTACTCAGGTTTTGTATAAGTTTCCAATTCATTTTTTGTAATTTGATCTGGCTGACCTTTCCCCTAATTTGGACTTAATGATTTATTTTTTATGTTGATGCTAAATACACTAGAAGTACTAGAGCTTTCAAAGCAGATTAAGGGGAAATTGAAGGAAGCCAACCAATATGGTATCTCTTATTTGCACTAGATTGTGTCTTAATTGGGCCATGTTTCTCAATTATAGCTGAAAACCTTTTCTTTTGAGATAATAGTTATTTATTTATTTTTCTGCAAAGTCATAGTAACATAGTAAGCATGTAGCTTCAAAATTTTTTTTTTTTTTTTTATCATATTTGCTTTTATGATTTTCTTTTTGTTGAAATCAACCAACTTTTGATGTTAAGTTTTAGATTTTGTTTCACTTTCCAAGGTTATGCATTAAATGGGACCAGTTGCTAGTATTTTCTGATGAGGTTTCTATCCAACATGGTGGGACTCTGAATTTGAAAAAGATGCATTACCATCCATTAGTCGGTCCTGCCAATTTATTAAGAGTACTTTACGTGTATGGTTCAAGGTGCTGTCCAATTTTGCAATGATTGTTGTGAACTTTTGTTTGTCTGGTTCATCAGGTTTCATAAATTCTAAGATGTTAATTATGTGGTACAGAGGGATGACTGTTGTTAGAGTTCATCTGCTTTCCCCAATGTTTGAAGTTTATGTTTATTAACTTGTTTTAGGAGAACAATTAAATTTTAGAGTGAAAAGACTGTCAGTTTAATATGGGTAGTTAAGATTAAACAATTATGGTTGGATTGGATTCAACCTAAGATTGCATTTGTTTTGAAGGAAATGAAGGGGAAGGAAGGGGAGGGGAGAAACTTCCTTTATTTAATTTCTCCCCCTCAAACATGCTGTGAGGCTATGTTTCCTTTTATATCCTGGATGACCTTGATAATAGCATCAAGGAATGGTTAATCATTCTTATCATCTCGGGTGCCATTAAGTGGCAGCTTAGAAGTACAAAGTTTGTTGAGGTGTCATGTTTTAACTTTGCTGGGGCCATTTGTAAAAATGAAAATTCAAAAATTCTTGAGAATTTCTCTTGTATAGGGGTTTTAAATATATATTAAATTTCAGTGATTCTATAAATTTCACAAAATTTTTACTTGACGTTCTAGTAAGTAGTAAACCATATCATGTTTGATATTTGCAAGCCTTATTGCAAGATATATATATATATATATATATGGATTTTTTTTTTCAAGTGCTAATTGTTGTACTTACACCAATAATGTTGTGTAATTTTTTTTTTGGCCCGTCTTTACTTAGTATTAGCTTTAAAGTGATGTACATGATTGTTTCTAAATTGCAGATCTTGAAGGCAAGACAGATCTTAAAATACGAGCTCTAGAAGAAGTAGGAGAGCTCAGAACTAAAAGGGCAGCTAAACAGGTACTTTGAAGAAGATTCTTCCGTAGGAATTGTCATGTCATGACATCACTGAACATGTTAATGTTTTCATTTCAGGATTTCCTTGATATTAAATGTGCATAAAGTTCCTGATATCTTGGATGACATTTTGTCTCTTATTATATATGATGTTCAGTTTGTTGTTACAGTCCATCCTGCTTTTGGATGCTTTCAATAAAGATCGAGCATCTTTGCCTCAACCATTGCCAAAACTTCCACCTTTGGCACCATTACCTGTAGCTGCACCTGGTCCTTAGAACCAGGAAATGCTAAATGAAAAGTTGAAGAAATCTGAGGATCTTGGTAAGGCTCAAGTTACCTGAACTCTGTTTTTTAAGTTTGTAAAACGAAGGAGAAAAACACATTGACTATCGACATATATTAAGTTGCATATGCTATAGCTATATAACCTCTTTTTTTTTTTTCCTAACTTTATTTGTCGCCTTCAAATTCCTAGAAATGAGATACAGTTAATCCTTAAGCTGTTTCTGAATCTTTTATTATGCTGATTTTTATTCCTTTATACGTGTGCTTACACCCTTTTTTTGGTTAATTGCCTGAAAATTTGTTTCCTCTTTCCTTCCAAAACAATGGTCAATGGCTGATAAAGACTCTGTACTTTTCTGTTTTCTTTTTAATCAACACTCAGTGCTTTACATTAACAATGCCTTTAGAAGGCTTTCATTGAAACCATACAGAAGGACATTAGAAAAACTGAAGTTACCAAAATATCTCTAAATTATAAAAGATGAATTAAACTTATAAGTCATTGAACTGAAGACTTGCTCTTGATTGAAAGGCTTCTTGTTCCTTAAGTTAGCCCAAAATTAATGGTCTTTCTGATTGATATCAATAGGAAAAAAGATGGCAGTTGTACTAAAAAAAGGTTCCTTGCGATTAGGATTTTTATTATTTGAAAATCTATTTTATTTGTTTAAAAATTGTGCTTAAATTTGTTTTATTGTACCTGTGGTACAAAGATTTCAGGGATATATGTACTTTATAGCGGTAATTGAAGTGCTCTTTCTCTCTAAATGATTTTTAGGTGAGAAGGGGATGATAGATGAGGCACAAAAAGCTTTAGAAGAGGCTGAAGGACTAAAAAAGGTTTCAATTTCTGAACTTTATAGTATTATATCTGTAGATGGATTTATATTATTAACTTATTTTGTTCTTTTCCTTGTTGGTTTGCATTATGACTTATTTGCAGATATTTGTTTTTCTATATCTGCTCAGCTCCCTGCCAGACAGGAGCCTGTTCTGGATTCCTCAAAATACACTACTGCTGATGTTTGCATTGTGAGTCCTGTATTTCTTTCTTTTAGTATCATAGAAAGGAAAAGTTGAGCCATTTAAGAAAAAACTAAATATAAAATTGTAGACATACTGTGACCTTACAAGGAAAATATGGAATTTAATTTGTGTAATTAATGCATGAACAACCAGTCACCTTCTGTAAGAGATTTCATGCAAATAAGGACACAACCTTTCAAAACTTTTCTAATTAAGGATATGACCTTTTTCCTTATTTGCAAAGGTCATATCCTTTAGAAACTTTGAAAGGTGATAGCCTTGATTAGTAATGAAAAAAAGGTCATATCCTTAATTAGAAAAGTTTTGGAAGGTGTATGAAATCTCCTTTGATTTTAGTCAAATTCCTTTTAGTCCATTTATAGAGTAATATTTGATCTGCGCTAACCATTTTGATCTAATGTTATTTCAGACCTATCAAAAGCTACAGGTGCATTTTTGAGTGTTTATGACAGGTACCTTGTTTATCCTCTACTTCCTGGTCATGACCTTTTATCTTTTAGCTTTCTGAAGGCTTCAAAAAGTTAGTGTTTGGGGTTTCAAGTGCTTCAGCTTTTGACCTGACTATTATACCTCCTTGTTACCAGCAGGCTTTTGGGCCCAATTTTATGAGGATAACTTTTGCAGCTACATAATGTGTGTCTTTTTCTGTTATATGTGCTTGTAGATCTTGCAATTGTTAGATAATAAATATTTAGGAAATGGTACAGTGCATGCTCCTGCAACTTTTTCTATTTTCTGGGTAAAAGTGTTTTGATTTTTCTTGTTCATTTCAGTGATCGATGTTTAGCAGATAATTTTGGAGGCAAACTTCATTTAAGCTATATGCAAATCCATGATAAACTAGCAAAGCTTCAGGTAAGATTATTTATATGCTGTGGTGGCTTTGCTTTAAAAATTACATTGGGGTAAGAAGTCCCTCATGTCCAAGATTTTGGTTTTACAGATTGCCTGAACTTTTCTCCACATGTGACGCTTGTTCAGCTTTTCTTTTCTTTTTCCCTTTTTTTAATAAAATTAATCAGACCTTTATTTACTTCCTTTGCCTATTGGATTCTAGTTTAACAGCAAATTAAATGCTTTTGTGCTTAGTAGGAATCTCTATTCTTCTATTGATCTTTTCCAGATTTCCTTGGGTTTGTATTGTGAATATGTTGGTTCAGGTGATGGTATAATGTTTCACATTCTTCCATAAAGATTCTTAGTTAGTATCATTTGTGAGTTTTTCTGACCTGAGAAGAATATTATGCCCCCTTTTCTAATTTCTTTTGATTGCTTGTAGATGCTGGACTTTAGAACACAGCATTTTCTACCTTGTCTGTGCATATTCGGTTTAAAATACATTATGAAATGTCTTGGTTCTCAACCAAATTTGGTAGCTCAGTTTTGTCTGCTGAAAGTGGGAAAGAAAGTGTAAAACATGAAATCAAATAAGACCGAAAAAGTAGAAGAAATGATTTTGTTCTGGGCATGTTAAGAATAGAGGGACAAAGGGCTCTTAAAATCTGATAAACCTGATGGATGGAAGGCCTGGTTTGGTCAAGGTAAGCTGCCTATTGATTATGCCTACCATTTAATTCTGACCTAACAGTCTTATGCTATGTTATATTTAGCTAGATTGAGGAGGCATTTATATTTTTAAAAGAAGTGTTAAGCAGCACTTCTTGTTAATTAGCTTTCGTCAGGAAGAGAGAAACAAGAGCTGCAGACTTGACCGATATGATGAGAGGAGGTAATCCTCACTTCTTTTTTTTTTTTTACTTTTTCCTTTGAACAATCTGTAAACCATCAGATAGAGAGGGGATTTTGTGATATCTTTTTTTTTTTTTTTGGTGGTTAATAGATCAAAAGAAAGAAGTAGAGATCATGAGAGAGAATCCAGTCATGACCACGACCAAGCTGATAGTCGTGACTGAGGGAGGGATTATGATCGAAGGAGCAGAGATTGTGACAGGTACAATGATCGAGAACATGGTAGGGATTATGAGTGCTCTCAGACTTATGCTTCTAGAAGTCAAGACTGGGCATGTTCAAGGTCTAAGGAATGTTCCAGGGATTATGATCATCACAGGTACTTTTTTCTCTTTGTTTATGGTTTTTTTAAATTTGATTTTCACATGGACTCATTTATGAGTCTCCTGCCATTATTGGTTCGTTTTTGTAATTCTATATGTGCTTGTTTACATGTCAAATTGATGAATGTTTGGATTATATTTATGCTTCTTATCATATTCTTCACTCAACTACCTGTAGGTAATTTCATTATTTTCAAAAAGATCTAACTACCTTAGGTAAGTTTTATCAAAGTGGAAATGTGGAATAGAGGGTGTAGGTTAGAAAAGCTTTGAATTACTTGGTGGAATGATTTTCAAACAGGATTTTGTTAAAGGTGGGGCTGTAAGAGGCCATGCTTCTCCCAACAAGTTGAACTCAAAATAATAGTAACCCCAGTTTTTATTTGGTCTCTTTTAGTTAAGTGAGTTGACTTAAACATTTTAGTGCTTGGCCTGAGAATTAGCCATTCCTTGCTTGTTTAACAATATACATTAATTTTGTTTTCTGATGATTCTTTTAGCTTGTTGAATTTGTGTTAAGTTAATATGCTATTAGTTTTCAGGTGTAAAATGTGCCAAAGCTGACTTCATGATTAGGTTTTCACCATTGTTTTCAAATTTCATGCTGAACTACAGCTAATATTTGAGTCCAAGAAGAAGCTGAGTACAATATAAAAGCCAGGGACAATCAAATTTAATATATTCAAGTATTTGAGCATCCTCTATGGGCTAGATTCTGTCACGCAAGAAACTCTCACCTGAACCTCCACCTTGATTTTTTGATGTTCTAAGCTAAATAAGCTAATTATAATTGTTTCTACGCTTAAAAAACAGCCAAGTCTAGTTCATTTTGAGGTTTTATGATTCTTTTAAACCAACTTTGAGAGAAGAAATGAGCTTGAGTTGGAGATTGAGCTCAAGTTTTTATGTTTGTCGAGCTTGAGCATAGTATTAGGTGAGTATTGGATTGATTCACTCTAGATAAAACTTCAAAGCTAAAAAGGTTCCCTTGGGTAACTCTTGAATAGGTGCTGAAAAAAGATCTTAACCAAATGTATTGGTGCAGATAAGCATGAGGGTAAGAGTTCTATTAAAACAATATTAAATGCTATGATTGGTTTCTAGTATTGTTTCATTAGTTTTGGAATATAGAAATATAGAAATGGCTATAAATCCTGCATGGACACATGACGATTCAAGGCTTGTGGTTTGGCAAACACCAGTAGATTCGAATGCTGTTTTTATTTTCACATTAAAAATTTCCGGTAATTCCTTTAATTTTATCACAATTACCTTTAGTTTTGTTTGAGCATGATGATCTGACAAGGGGATGTCATTCCTTAAGTCACTAATATGTTGTTTTATGATGCAACTCTCTCTATGTGTGTTTCTCAGCAAAAGATTTTAGTTCTTTATTGCTAGGATTTGAATGCTGACATTCGTTCAGTAACTAATATTTTGTTAGGCTATTTTCCTATTTTTCTTGCTGAATTTATTAAAATTTTCTATGCTGATACTGGTTATTCTTCAACTTTACTCTTTTTTTAATCAGACATGATCGGTACTAGATGATTGTTGCGAGGAACCAAATGAGTATGAAACTGTTCTTGCTTAGGTAAGTAAACGCATATAGGAGTAGTATAACTTGTGTTTGCCCAAATTAATGTTTTTCTCAGTAAGTTCGATAGTTCCTCCTGTGGACGTATCAACATGTTTAATTAAGAGGATATTTGTTACTTATGACTTGGCTTTGATATTATTAGGTATATATATTACTATTCCAGTTGGAAATGACTAAAGTTATCTAAAAGGACTGGATGAAAATTAATACAAGGTTGCATGCATGGCAGTTTGAGGTTTGAATTGTTGTTTTTCGATTCGAGAGCGTTATAGTAAGTTGTTAAGCAATTGAATGGATCTTAGAATTTATTCCCTCCTCTCCAATTTCTCTTTTTAACCAAATAAAACCCCTTCACTCCCCAATTTCTCATATCTAAATAAAATCAGGTGTCTTATTTTCCTTTATCTGCTCGGTTATGGAAGGGAAGGGAGAGGGGTTCTTATTGCCACTAATCAAATTAAGTTGTGGGCTAACAAAATAATTTGATTGATTATAATTATTTTCCCTCTCCTCTCCTTGAACCAAATTGTGAATTTATTGATTAAATGTCAATTTTGGTCTTCAACTTTTATGTTTTGCATAATTTTCATTCTTCAACTTTTTATGTACTTTTTTGGTTGCTCAATTATGAAAAATGTACATTTTTAGTCTTTTTGAAGTTAATTCCTTAAGTTTATCTAAATATGCACATTTTTAATCCTTTAACTTCTAATATATGCATATTTTCATCCCTTAACTTTAAGTTAAGGGATTAAAAATGTTTATATTTAGATAAATTTAATAAATTAACTGACAAAAAAATTTAAAAAATATATAGTTTTCATAGTTAAAAGATTAAAAAAGTATACAAAAAAGTTAAGGGATGAAAATTGTGTAAAACCTTAAAGGTGAGGGACTCAAATTAGAATTTAACCTAATTTTTTTTATTTTGTCCAAACAAACTCTTCCTTTTTGTAAAAGACAAACAGATTTGAACCTAAAATGAAAGGAAAATTTTGGAAATGGCTTGTAAGTTTTGTAACTGCATAGAGCTCTCTATGATTCATTCATTTTTCGGATTCTTAGACGGGATTGGTTGACAGGTATATATTCAACCAAATAAATCAAGATTACATAAGAAAAGTGGAGTAGTTTATCTAATACAGCACTGAGATGCTATGGTAGATTTACTAGAAAAAGAAACTGACAAGTACACTTACTCCGTTACATTTAAACCTAGTATTACAAAAGAACTAACAAGGATCAAGGAAACAATTCACGTTCTTCAGCCCTTTTTTAAGATGCCCATTTACAACTCGGTCCCATTCTGGTCCTGTGTCCCGGAATATGCTATGAAGTACTGTGTATGTCATCTACAACCCCTACAATCTCAGCATAATTCCGTGTCTTCAATATTTCAGTAAACTGTTGTTTAAACTGGCTGTAATGTTCCCTTTTCAGAGAAGCTCAAGGTCAAGGGAAACACCTGGTACCCCACCTATGATATAATATAAAGAGTTTATCAAGCTCGAACAACACCCAAATGCAAACCTCCGATAGCATTCATCAAAAGGAAAAAAAAAAAAAAAAAAAAACCTCGT